CTGTTGGTGATTGTTTTTGTACCCCGCAGCCTCTCATCATTGTGGCAAACAAATGTGACGTGAAGAAGATCAGCGAGCTGTCTGAGGAGAACCAGGTGGGTGGTTTACAGGTTGCACATCTCAAAGACAGGAATGTGTAGGATGTGTTTAAGAATTTGCTTAAATGTCCTCTTTGTTGTCAGAAAATCTTTGCAGACCTGTCTGCAGAGGGAATCCCCGTCATCGAGACCAGCACCCTGACAGAGGAGGGCGTCATGCAGGTTAAAACCGAGGTGAGAAACAGCCGACTCGGGCTCGCTCTGGTCCCGGAGCGTGTCAAGTATTTGATCTCACCGTGGCTGCCATCTTTCTTTCAGGCGTGCGACCAGCTCCTCGCTCATCGTGTCAACACCAAGATGAAGGGCAAGAAGGTCCACGATGTTCTCAACCGGCTGCACCTGGCCATGCCCGCCAAGAGGGATGAGAAGGTCAGTCAATCAGCTCTTGAATGTCACTCTTAAACAGTTTAAAGCTGTTTAACGCGAGACTTTTGCTTTTTTTTCCTTACATTTGTTAAAGGTTAAATCTGTTCATGCTTTCAGGAGAGGCCTCCGTTCATCCCAGAGGGAGCCATGATGCGCAGGAAAGCGATGGAGGTGGACGCACCCAAACGCAAACTGGTAGGTGTGGTGGGAACTTCAGGCTTATAGCAAAAGAGACGGCAAGCATTTACTTAAGCTCTTTACTTTAATTTCATTGTATATTTATCTTATTTTACCGAACCCGGAGACAATACTCTTTCTTTGACTCTAAATAGCAAAAAAATGAGTAATAATATGAGTTTTTCTTCCTCTGCTGAGTTTAATTCTCTCTGTGCGGCTGTTTGTAAAATGTTTACGGTTCTTCTTACAGGAGAGAGATCTGGAGTTGGAGCTGGGTGATGACTACGTTCTGGACCTTCAGAGTAAGAACTGCTTCCCTTTAATAACGGAGCTGCTGCTGTGACATTTCAGACCATCTATTCACTGCCATTCTTTTTTTTTTTTTTTTAGAATACTGGGATCTAATGAACGAGGATGAGAAGCGTGATAAGATTCCTGAAGTGTGGGAGGGCCACAACATCGCAGATTTCATTGATCCCAACATCATGAAGGTGAGCGCCTGCTTTTGCATGTGCACGAAGGCCTGCAAAGGTTCACATTGCTGAGATTCTGCAGACATCTGTGTGCAAACAAGGACACCAACTGTGAACGCTTCCTCTGAGCAGGCTAGAGCGTCGTATAAAATGAACGGCTGTGGTTACCTGCTGTTTACATCTGTGTTTGTGTTCTTCCACAAAGGAGAAGTTCACATTAAAAACGTAACAGCCTCCAGATTAATCTGGGGAAACCTACTTCCCTTAACTGGTCCTTCCGCCATGCCAAGAAACAAAGGGCACAAACTGTTAAACAATGAAAACCACAAGATCCTTTATGATTAATAGTGACTGGGTTCATTTCTGTGTAGTGAAAGTGCATTTTCCTGTCATCTACGGTTCCTCTGTCTTTTGTTTTCTGCTACACGAGCAGAGGACACTAATCTCTATAACTGTAATGCATACCTCTATATTTACTCCTGAGCTACTCGTGCTGTTGTTTACGACCACACTGATATTCCAAAATGTAGAAAATAATGTGAACAACTAAAGAAATATAAGCTATTCTGAGCTTTTAATGATAACAACTGAACCACTGAGGCCTTCAGCATGAATGTAATGCATTTATCTCCAGGATGCTCTCAGAAAGGCTTAATGAAGAAAAAGAGGAATAAGGCATTTGTCAAATGTGTTTCTGCCCTCTAAACTCTGTCCTCTAAATTCGTGTTTGTTTTTCTCTCGACCCTCACAGAAACTGGAGGAGCTGGAGAAGGAGGAGGAGCTGAAGGAGCGAGCCGGGGAGTACGATTCTGACGAAGAGAGCGAGGACGAGGAGATGCAAGAGATCCGCATTCTTGCCAAACAGATCCGCGAAAAGAAGCAACTCAAGGTCCTGGAGTCGAAAGAAAAGGATGTGCATGGACCTCGCATGCCCAGGACCGCCACCAAGGTGAGCAGGGCTCAGTTTAAGCCACTCACCGTCACCCTGCTGGAGTTGAGATGTGGGTCAAATTTAAGTACAGCTGCCTTCAAATACTTTATATTGATTGTTCCAAACATAATAAAAATATATGCCGACATAGCAGATTTCCCCCCCCATTCTTTAATACCTGTTGGTGTTTAATTTCTTTGATGTCAACAAACATCTGAGAGCTTAAACTGTATCAAGTGCTGACAAATAGGTGAAAGAATTATGAATGCGTTCCTACTCATCACCTCACCTCTGCTGGTCGCTATTCCTGTTTTTCGAACATGGAAAATTTGCTGCACTTCCAGCAGAATAAGAGACTTGGCAGCAGGTGAGAATCAGCAGATTAGAATCAAGTATAAAGACGTCACATCGTTGGCTGAACATATGTAGAGACAGCGTGCACACAGGCTGAGCTGCTCGATCCTTATAGCTGGTATGTCTTGAAACGGGCACGTATGAAGCATATTCCCTCAGTAATCGACACTGCACTCAAAACATCAGTGGAAAAAAGAATGAGTGGAAAAACGTGGCATTCATGGAAACCAGGTTATGTGCTCATCATCAGTTACCATGGTGATTTAGCCAGGTTTAAGAAAGAAAAAGGAAAACGAACCGCTTTCAGGACAAATTTTGAAGGCTCCACCTAGTGGAGCTTTTTACTCCGAGTTACTCCGTCAAGCTTCAAGCTGGTGACTCCATTTATTTCTTTGACTGTCTTTTGTCTTTTGAGCCCACGTTTCACACGGATGTCTGAGCTCATGTTTGTGTTTGTTCTGATATGTTCAGGTTGAAAGGAAGCGGCTCGAGAAGGAGATGGGTAACCTCGGTCTGGACATGGACGACAAGGACGATGTAAGTTCTGATTTGAAATCGGCGCCTACAGGATGTATGTAACTGAATTAATGATAATGATATTAAGTTATAATTACAATGGTGCCCATGGTAACAAATAAAAAAGAGGCAACCTTTTACTATGTGGTTTAATAGTAAAAAGTTGTCAAACTGTGGGGCGTGGAATGAGGCTAGGTTTTTATATTATTTTGTTTATTGCTAATAAAGGATAAAATCTTGCTGGGTTTGGTGCGTGGACTGATGGAGTTTTGATATAAGGGTTTTTGAATAGTTACAGTGAAACGTTTGTTTCAGTATGATCTTCTTTGAACTAATTTTATTTTGGTAAATATGTGTCCTTTTATTTATATTTTCTTTAATTAGTTTGGTTGTTTTGAGATTCATTTGTTTTATTTTCATTACTGAAGAGTTTGTAAACTCATTCATGTTTCCGTGGTTACGTGTTTCTTCGGGGTTGGCGGTGTTGATGGTGTTGATGTGGTCTCATGTTCTTGTTCTTCATACTGGTTCTTGATGAGTGAATCTTTGGAGATGTTTGTGTCTTAAGTGTTTCCTGTCGTGTACTTTCAGAGTCACTACGCGCAGCAGGCCAGACGCTCCCGCAGCGTCGCTAAGAAGCGTAAGCGTGAAGCTTCGGCCCCTCCGACGTCCCGAACCCGCAGCCAGAGCGCCTCCCGTCCACCCCGAGACCAGTCTGGTTTACGAGATGCAAAGGTACGAGGCTGTGGCATTGCTCAGCTTTTAACTAAAATCTGCTCTGTGATCGACTCGCTTAGTCTTTTAGGTTTCTGAAAAGGTGGATGAGCTACCTCACATCAGAGATCTGTAAACATTAGTTGTTTCACACAATTATTCACAAAGTGGCCAATACTGAAATAACTGAAGTATTTGCCAGCTTCCCTTTAATCCAGTTACCTTCTGCAAAGAAAAATTTGATCCTAAATGTTACTCGCTGATGTTTAATCTCAGAGGGTCAGTTTAGGCTGAGCTGACTGCAGCGCTGTCAGTAAACTAGCAGAAACCCTAAATACCTGATTACCTTTGAATTCCTTTTTCTGTCTGACCAACAAGGATTCACTTAAACTGCATATTGTCGTGTGCAGGAATTACTGCATTTATCAGTAGTTTTATACGTTACTTGTAGTTGCAGCTTATTTATAAAGGTTAAAAATACAATTTCATTGTTCTTATTTCTTATTTTTTAGCTCTTAAAAAGCATCAAGTGTGATTTTAATTTTTTTTGAAGGTTTCTTTTTGCTTTCATTAGTGACAGTTGAATCACAGGAAGGAGTGGATTACATGCAGTAACTATTCTGGTGTTCAAAATGTAATAGATGCATGAAGTGAATCCCTCGTTCTGTAAACTGACCGCTGGCTTTGTCCGTTTGTTCATCAGATGGCGAAGAAAACGAAGAAGATGATGAAGAAATCCCAGAAAGACATGAACCGCCAGGGCAAGAAGGGAGAGGCAGACAGACACGTGTTTGACCTCAAACCCAAACACCTCCTGGCTGGGAAGAGGAAGTCGGGCACCACAGATCGCAGATAAAACTGCTTTTCCTGGACTGTTGACACCTGGACACTCTGCTGGCACCATTGCCGGGGAACCATTTACATGATTAGTGATTATATTAATACCAATTTTCAGCTCAAGCATTTGCTCATGGAAGTGAAGCTCAGCTGTAATGAAAACATAACTGTATTGAATGGCAGAGACTTTGTAGTGGTTAATGTCTTACTGTGTTACTGCAGTAGTTCATGTGTGAAGCTGATTTGTATTCAGTGTCAGGTTTCTTCTTGGCAGTATCAGTGAAGTGAAACCTTTTGCCTTACAGCTCGTATGTGGCTCTACTTTGGATAAAGTGATGATGATGCTTCCTTTAGAGTCTCTTCTTGAGAAATATTAACACAGGAGCCAATTAAACACATCGGAACTAAAATATCTCAGCTGTCCTATTTTTCTCTATGGAGTGATTTTATCTTAAAGAGACAAGGTGGTGACAGGAATGAACCTTATTGTGTTTTTATATTCCTGATTTGAAAATACTGGTGATAATTGTCTCAGTTGTGCAACAGTTATGCCAGTTTTGCAGCACCAAACGTGCAGTTTTGTTGCACTGAAACGTTACGTCCAAACTTACTTTCACATTTTAATAACACATTTTCTTGCTTGTGTTAAATATGCACACCAACATGTTTTTCAAACCCTTGTAGTTCATTTTTTCATTTTTTTCATAACAAACATGGACAGTCCTACCAATCATCTTTTTCTTTTCTTTTTTTTAGTTTAACTTCATGGTTAATTTTCAACTTTTTTGTTGTGATGGTTCACATTTTGGTAGTAACTGTCTCATTTTGGTTGTTTTTCTCTCTTTGATCCTTTTTGTATGACCTTTTTGCATCTTTTCCTACGGTTGTTTTTTGATACTGTTTTGTGTTACATTTAGATTTTTTTTATTTTACAGTTTTAGCTCATTTTGCATCTCTTTTTACCCCATTCTCTCTCTGGGGTCGTTTTGTGTCTCCTTGTGATAGCTGTTCATGTCTTTGTGCTATGCTGTGATTATTTGTCATCTCTTTTTACCACCATTATGTCTATTTGAGGTCGATTACCGTCACGTTTTTGTTTGTTTGTTTGTTTGTTTTTTTTGTCATTTTACGGATGTATGTTTTCTGGGATATTTAAGACCTGGTTTTAGAGCTTGGACCTTTTCCTAGACCCCGTTCATTATGTCCATTATTAGAAAGCATGTACACCAGCATGATTAAAACCGCTTTTAGTGCTTTTATTATATCTCTGAAATGGCTTCATTCCCTAATTTAATTTTCATGAAGCCAAATTTACAAAAACCATGTAATTTATTTGTAAAAGCTCCATAAATTTAGACTAGTTTGTTTTTATGTGGCGACAATCAAGAAAACAAGAAACTAACAAAGTCTGGATGGAGTTTTGCTGTGACCGGCGTAGGCTTTTATTGCGAAAAAACCTCGGACCGGAATTGGCTTCGTTATCTTTTCTCGCGTAACGGTACCCGTCTGCTGTCAACGCGGATTTTGGACAAAACCTGCGCAGCATTCTCAGACCTTGAAGAAAATGTTAGCGACGACATCAGTTCCCATCCACTCCCGAAATAAAAACGAGTATTTGTAGACTTTCTGGTGAGTTGGCCTCCATGTTTGAGCAGGTTATTTTCACCGTTAGCCCGTTAGCATGCCTGGCAGCACCAGCTAATCGGGGAAACGTTAGCTTGGCTAAGCTGGGCATCGCCGCTTTAAATTGTCTAGAACTGCTAATGTTAAGGTCCACTTTTTTCCCCAGGTATTTTCGTTCTTTTTAAAACATTCAATGCTATTTTTTTTAAATAAAAAATATTTTATCCAAATGTAATGCAAGATAATGTGACCTTAGCGCTGTTTTCTTTGCGCTTACACCAGTGACAGTCAGCAGGAGGAACTAGGCACCAGACAGCTAAACAAGGCTGGTTTTATTCCTCAGAAACGGGCAGTAACGGATAGACGACTCTCTGATGTCTGTGATAGTTTCAGCATGACTGGTGATTTAAAAACGCATCTTATTTGCATGTTTTAGTATCCAGACACCTTTGTGTCAACTCAAGGACAAATGTAACACACACCAGGCTCAGATGTGTGTGAAGACTGATTTGAACATCCAAAAATTAATCTTCCTTTCGTGTTTCTCTGTGTAGTTGAACCTAAATTACTGTCCTTTCCTGAACCTAATCCATCTGTTTTGTTGGTTAAATATAACTGAGTAGTTTTGGTTCTTAAATCCAACGAAACTTAAAACCGAAAAAAAATAAAATTAAGAGGTCGACGATGACTGTTGGTTGGCACACAGGGGCCAGACCTCTTTTCTCGGTAGAAAGGGTAAAGTCATCCAACGCAACCTGGCGTTCTTATCACCTCAGCCGACTTCTGATAATCTGTTCCTGGCAGTAAGCAGTGAAGTGTAAACATCACTCAAACCTCAGAAATGTTCCTGGAGCAAAACACACACAGGCTTTTTGTGTAAGTCAGATGGGGTAAGTAACTTGTCATTCGTAATATTTAGATTATTTTAAAATACATACATCTCAAGTGATGGGTCCTGATGAATGTATGATCAGCAGGCTTTCTTTTAACATCTTAGAAATTATTCAGCTGCATAACAGGTAGGAGTGGGCAGGATGTTGATCATCCGCTTCTATCATGGTGTGGGATTTTGTTTTGTAGTTATGATTCATGATAAACAAGTTAAACGCCAACCTGAACACTTCAAAGAGGAAAATATTCTGCTCTCTCTCACTGATTTATGAAATGACAAGAACGAGTCAGTGAGTGCTGCCCACCTGATTTTTTTCTTCTTCTCTCTCCTGTATCTTTAGAACATTTAATGAAGTCATGAAAAATGTTGCATTCATTTTAGTTACAGCCTTTAAAATGACTGACCTGGCCCACCCTCATAAGGAGACATGAGTGGGTGGATGTCAACTCCATAAAGTTCTGTTCCTTGGATAAAATATGTGTTTTTAAAAAAATGCCCAAGTATAAAATCATCTAAAAACACTGATTTTCTGGCCACTTGTGCCATGATAAACTGGTATTGGCATTAACGGTGATATTAAAAGAAAAATTAATATTGGGTTAAAATTGCTCAAATGACAGGATCATAATTAATCCAGTGTTGGGTTAAGGACTTTGCAGTTCATCAGTGACTCTGTTTTCTTTTGTTAAGTACTTTATTGTAGCCACAGATAATTATGCTTGGAGTAGGTATAAAATTAACTTTACTGAAGTTCTCTTATAATGCAAATTAAAATGTTTGACATTTTGACTCAACTTTATGTACTTCAGAGGTTTGTACCTGAGGCCTGGGCTCACAAATCAACAACTCCTCATCCTTCTTGTCCTCTTTTGTCCATTCTTCTATTCATTACATTAAATTTGACATGAGACCTTTTCTTTTTCTTTCTTTTTTTTTTTTTACTTGCAGATTTCATGTAATTGCATCTCAGAGCCATAAGTAACCCTATTTAAGACATTTAAACTGTTGCCACTCCAGAGAAAACACTTTTGAGCGTTCTGCCGTCTCTGCCGTCCTTCTCTGGTGCTGTTATTTCAGTTTCCTCTGTTGGAAATTCTGATGCTTTTTTTAGATTTAATATTGTTGACCTTCTGTTTTTTTTTTGTTTTGTTTTTTGTTTTAAATAAAACTTTAACTGCTTCCTTTCTGGTAAGCTTACAGGTAAACTGGTTTCCTTGGGTAGAGAAAAGTGGGTGTGGCACTATGCAGATTGGTTTGAACAATCCGGGCCAGAACAGGCCTGCCAAAAGGTCCAATCCAATGTAATTTTCTCTGTATTTTGTCATGAAGATTAATGTTGTAATAAATAACCGAAGGGTTAATGTTACCTGAGACTAGGGCTGCCACGATTAGTCGACTAGTCACGATTACGTCGACTATCAAAATCGTCGACGACTAATTTAATAGTCGACGCGTCGTTTGAAGCTTTGTAAGATCCCAAAAGACACAGGAATGAGTAGTAGGATTTAAGAGTGTAATAACAGACTGAAACAGAAGATGGCAGCACTGCATGTACAAGGATGCCAGCTGCCGTTAAACCCCGAAGAAGAAGAAGCAGCTGTGTCCCAGAATTCATAGCGCAGCCCAGCTCACTTTCCAACAATGGCGGCAGCTAGTTAGTGTTAATATTACTCTTATTATTCTTTCTGGGTCACAAAATAAATGTTTAACATATTTTCAGGCGAGAATGTAGCTGTGTAAACCTCAAATATCGGCTCAGTTTATCAAGACACCACATATTTTCAAAAGCGCTCTGACGTTTTCGGAGACATCTGTTACCCACTAGCTCGATAGCTAGCCGGGGGCAAGGTCGCTAGAGCCGGACTCCCGGCAAATCGTTTCAAACCCACCGCCGTCTTTCGCTACTCAGGTTAAACATGATATATGAGTCACTTAGATAACTTAAAAATTTTATTGTTTGGCTTTTTTCAGTATTTTATTTGTTCCTGAGTAAATCGGTTTGGCTGAGATTAAAGTTATAGTTTTTACACAGCTGAATAAACATCAAGCAGACAGCTGATTATCAGAAGTGTGAGATGCTCCAGAATATACTCCGGTGTCCTGTTATATTTTAGATAGCAAGGAGTTTATTAAACTTCACCGAAACAATCTGCAAATTTAATAAACTATCATCTTGTCTTTATTTTTAGTTAGCACATACCTTACACACTTAAAGCTGTAAGCTAATGATAGTTATATAAGAGCAGATGCTGCTGGTGCAATAAGATGTATGTTTTACATTCAATGGATGATGATCTGATTAGTCGACTAATCGCAAAAAATAATCTGTGACTAGTCGACTATCAAAATAATCGTTTGTGGCAGCCCTACCTGAGACATGATTTTATTACAGTAATATATCTTTGTAATCTGGAAACAATTATTTTGTTTCTCCAAAAACCTCTCTGCCTGTTGCTTCATCCATTTTACAAATGTATTATTTGTTTCCAGAATGAAGTTAAAAAGACTGAATATTTCAGAGGTTTTTTTTTTTTTCATATATTGCATGTGCAGCCGTTTCTTGCATAAAGTGAGAACATTTCTATTAGTGAATGTAGCAAATCTACATGTCTAATTATTGAATGAGCTTTTGGCTGTTGTGAAACCATAATCTTTTTTTTTCTTCCAAATATTGCTCGTCTCTCACTGGAACATTTCAGCTTCTTCTAACAAAATATTGAACACAGACAGTTTTCAGTTTCTGGAGCTGAAAGAAAAGGTTGTGATGTGGTTGTTAACTTCTCAGTTTCTATCCCAGTGGGATTTATTAAGCGTGCTCGCTGAGCAACACTCTGTTTCACACTCATTCACTTTGTCATTTCACACATTCACACGTGGAAGCTGCCAAATAAAACCACTGCCAAGTGCAGTACTTGGCAGTGGTTAGGATTTCGTCTTGATGCTTTGCAGTGAGTGAAGAAGACTGGATCTGTTCTCTTCGCCCTTTAGTCAGCCTCTCTTTTGTGATTTTATACTTTCAGTCTGTGGTTGCATCAAGTTTGAACGGAGGGATGCCAGTGGAGAGCGGGAGTAGCGCTGCTGCCCGCCAGGCCAAGCAGAAGAGGAAGTCCCACAGCCTGTCCATCCGCAGGACCAACAGCACTGAGCAGGACCGCTCCGGCCTGCAGAGAGACATGCTGGAGGGACAGGTGATGATTCCTTAAATTGTACCCTGAGAACGGATGAAAACTGCCTTGTATTTCCAGCTACTCCTCTGGAAACGGCACTCCTCTGCTGTCTTTCAGCATTAGCCTGCTGCTGTCCTGCTGTTTCTGTGAGCACCCGTAAGCACTTTGGTTGTAAGCCTAAGCCAATTAGGTTTTAATACAACCATTTAGAGGACACATGATGGTTTATATTGTTGCTGGCTTGCCACAATTACTGGATGAGTGCTGTAAGATTGTTTTCATTTAGTGGATAAACAGATGGATTTAGAACAGGCTGAGCCATTTGAACTTCGCTCGGGTGGATCGTTCAGCTCAGTGGTGTTTGTTCCTGTTTCTCAGGTGTTAAAAACCCTGCTCGCTTTCTCTGTGGCCTGCCAATAAGGACCTGAAATACTCGTGGGATGCAGGGTAAACACAGCTTACCTGGAGGTAATTATCTGAATCGAGAGTAAATCAAGAAAAAAAGGGAGAGGGAAAGGATTAGGAGCCTCTGAATTAAGACTTGGCTTCAGTTAGAGGTGCACATGTAGAGCAGGGAGAGTTAAAGCCTGTTGAACTGAAACACAGTTCACTGGCTTGTCTCACCTGCCTGGTGTACCTGTAATCTAACCACTTACAAAAATCAAGCACCTTTTTATTGCAGTTTCTTAAAGGATCAGTGCATGTCATTTATTTGCCAGGGAGGCATTTTAGCATTTGGCTTTAACATACTGTCCAGCACCTTCAGATAAAAATAAAAATATCAGGATCGTTTGTTCGGGTCTGACAAAGTGCTGAGCTGCATCTGTAAAGCAGGGTCTGCTGCTTCACGTGGATTAATGTTGTCCTCATGTGAGCCTTAATACGTGAGGGCATTGTTGGCTCAGCCCATACATGTGGTTTTGGGCTTCAGTCTTGACTGACTGTGTTGAACACACTCTGCCATGTAGACTTAATAGATATTCAGACCTGTGTTTTATTTAGGTTGGCAGGATTTTTTCCTAATTAACTTTAGTGTCTTTGTGTTTTTATATGAAGAAATTCAGTAAAACTTTTTAATAACCAGGTTTATTATTGCTTTATTATTGCTTGTTTGTTAATGCTTGGTCAATACATGATTATGTGGATATAAAGTTGCAGCTGATGGTTGTAAAACATTGTACTCCCCGTGGGCCAAACGCTCAGGCAGCCTGCTTCAGACAGGTTTTTTTTTTACTCTTGGCTCTGTATGATGTCAGTGATGTGGCACATGATGAATATGGCTGTCTCAGGCGCACAGCTCTGTCTCTGAGCACCTGCTGTTCAAACCTTTTATTTGTAAGAGACAGCTAATCAGAAGAAAGTGCCCTTAAAGGGAGCAGAAAGGAAACTAGAAAAACATAATCAAAACTGATAGTGAACAAAAAAAGGATTATTTTTGATCTATGTTAGTAGAGTCCAAGAATCAAAATCACTGTGCGTTTGTTTCTTGAGTTAAGGTAATTTATTGTTTTATTTTTGCATTTGTATGTTGGTCCTTTTCACATGTCACAGTAGGAACAGCACAGATGGAGGTCTTTATCACTTTATGACCATTCAGCAGCTCTAGTTTACTGAGACACCTGAGCATAGCGGTAACATTGATAATGTTGTCAGCAGCATCCGTGCTTTTCCTGCTGCAAGAAAGGTTCATAACCTTGAGAAGAAGAAATGGTGCAAATTTCTTAAATTGCAAATCTAAAACTCCCTGAATGTGGAAGCTGAACTTGTGATCATGCAGTGAAAAGAGGTTTAAATCTGTTGCAGATTTAAACCTGCTGAAAGCGCCTGTTTCTAACCAGACGTGGTGTAATCCCTTCCTCATGACTTTTTGTTTTCTCACTCTGGTCCCTTTTGGTCTCAGTCCTCTGATAATCTGGAATCCTTCATGAGAATGGAGGTAAGTTTCAGGTGTTTCGCCCTCTGTGTTTCGGATAATAGTGTAACTTCCCTCATAGTTTGTAGAGCTTTAGCATTAGTTGTATACGTTTGGTGTAGTTTAGGTTTGATTAGTAATAGGTGGAGGTGAGGTGTGGTCGTTGCTGCACTTCTAGTCTCCTTAAAAAATGTGACTATTTCTAGATTACAGGATGTTTTCTTTTGTGTTTATTTAAATAATATCTACATTTTGCAGTTACAAATAAATCAGTGTTTGTGACCTATTTAGTATGTCTTTGAGAGAAGATGGGATGTTTTCAGCTCTGTGAACTTGAGGTGGAAAAGTTGTTCTTATGCAAATCACAATAGTGCTGCTGCTCTATGTAAATAATGATGCACATGAAGGATGTGACTTCAATCTTGCATATGTTTCTACTGATGTGAAGAATCAGCAGGTGTTTGAATCTTACATCACTTTCTTTATATACTAATCCTGAGTCTGTAATAAAATAGCCTAATGTATCAGTGGATTTTGGTTGTATTCAAAATCTGTATCATGCCTCTTTAGACTCTCCCTGCATTTGTGGGTATCGCTGTCAACTTGCAACAAAGGTTACAAGAAATTCACCAAATGTAAAGCTTTTATTTGAACATCTGTTTACTCATGTGAAAACAGAAAAATAATAGTCATTAGTTATGTTTCATTTCAGTCGGTTCCTGGCTGAACTTGTCTGTTGGAAACATGTCACTCTCCAGCACCTGGCCAGTGTATTTACCCAAAATTGGACCCGCTGGTTATGTTGAATCCTGTGGGATAAAGGCTCATATATGTAAACATATTCTGACTTCTCACATGTGCGTAAAATGTTCCCCACACCGGTAATAAGGATTAATATAAAGGAATTTGTCTTTTGAGCATAAGACTAATTAAAAACATAAGATTTTCTTTGCATTTTGCCCTCATTTGATTCATTTTAGGCAAAGATTTTCAGTCGTTTTGGACTTTGAGCTCTCATACCTCAGTGTTCTCTAGTCTGTAGACTTGTGGCTTCACGCAGCAGCACATGTATCATCATGCAGCATTGTGTTGTAGTCAGCCCTCTTTTTTTTTTCATGTCATTATCTCAAATGTAGCACAAACCCTTTAGCCTTTGAATGCTGACCCACGACCGATTTCTATGTAAGTAGCTGCGAGCACAAAGGCAGTCAAAGAAAGAAGGCATGCTTTGTGCAGAGTACACAACGAAGAGAACTCCACACACTGACCCGTTTCATCGTGACTGGCCAAAGCTTTGAGATCTCTTCCACTCCGTGCTTGTGTCGAAGCTGCTGACTCAACTACAGACGGAAAGCGACACAAAACTGTTTACTCGCTGTGAAAAAGCCTTCTCAGGTGGATTCAAATCTGACTTATAACACTTGATTTTTATGTTTTTTTTAAAAAAAATTTTTATTTTATTATTTTAAATGACTTTTTTAACCATTGTTTGAGGATGTACCCTCTCCTCTCACATACTCTTCTCTTGTAAAGTGCTCCTACAGACTATGACAAGGTTAATCTTTTTATACATTTTTGTGGTCATCATCTTTGGAGGTGATGACTTTTGCCCTCTCTGTACATGTGCTGGCTGTCGTTAGGGTAGAGTTCATCACCAGTCATGCTACATGTGTCCAACTATGCTGTTTTTGCTGGCATGCTCAGGCATAGTGTGGAATGCCTGACGGGAGCACACCCTGAGGCTCATAATTAGGAGCTTATTTTGTAATAGGACAAAGCTGAGGAAACTCTTATTGCTTAAAATGGTGCCTGTGTTCAAATATTTAAAGAATGACCTCAGCCATCACGGGAAGAAGGTTGTAGCCTTGAACCGCCCAGTTGGCCGCAGTGTTAATTTTAACAGGAAACTTCGATTTAAATAATAATTTGGGCATCTAAATTGTTTTAGTTTTAGTCGACTAAATGTAAGATTATCATAGATTAAATCTAAAGTTGGTTCAGTTGACTGACATCCAAAGTGTAAATGTTTGTTGTGTTTTTGCTGGTGACACATGGTTTACAAAGCTTCTTATTTTCCTTGCCATCAAATGGGAGACGTGCCTGCTGCTCTCTTCCTCCCAAGCCTTTAAATTTTGACACATTTTCATGAGAAACTGGAAGCTGGATGCTAGCTGTACTGTTTCCCTGAGACAGATCAGATGTGCACATTTATCTTTACTTCACAAGATCTTTTCTGATTGGATCACTTCCAAACTTGTCCCACCTTTCATATTTTAATTACTTCTGACTGGGTCTTGTCTCCTCAGAATATTTTCATCCAGTTTTATATGTTGAAAAATTCATATATTTCATCATAGTTTTTGTCCTTGGGTATTTGTTTTTTACTTATTGTCGAGTTTAGTTTATTAGAGCTTCTAAAGCATGAACAGTTGTCTGCCTCTGTGTTGGTCTTGCTTGGTGACCTGACCTCTGTGACTCTGAGCTGGATAAGGGGTGAAGAGGGAGGATGGATTTATTTATTTATTTTTTAATCAGAGGCAGTTACTGTGCAGACTTTCCCATCACATTATGTTGCCTTTGGGAATAACCTCTAAAAAATGTTGTCTGAATTTGTGCACGCTTACCTTTTTTTTTTTTTTTTTTTTTTTTTTTTGTCTTTTTTTGTCTTTTGGGTTTTTTCTGTTAAATCTTTTGTGCTTTTCATGTAATTTAAAGAAACTTGAAAGCTGCAGTTATCAAATGACTCTTAACCTAAACTGCAGTGATTAATGTCCCATTGATGGACATTTTTTAAAATCGTCTAAATATCAGTTTAACCCATGACATTCTTTAAAATAAAAAAAAAAGTCAAATATTGTGTATTTATTTTTATTTGTATATCAGTCCAATACAACACATTATAGATTATTTAAGGAAGTTTAAAGCACATTGTAAAATGGGATAAAGAGAAATTCTGTCTAGAGTTTCCTTTTATAGCAGCAGTAGTCTTGGAGAATGGTATAAATTTGTCAAAGCCTGTTTGTTTGCCCTATAAAAACACATTCAGACCTGTAAGGCACCAAGACCTCCCCAGTGCTCTGTAACCATCTGACTGTTTCTTTCACTTTTATGGATGATTTTACTAATTCTTTCCTTCTTTCCTGCCCGAGCCTGAGTTCACGATTATTTCCTTCCTCCAGGTTTATGGTGTGATAAGAGGCTGTTCCTGTGCTTTGTTGCAGTAAATTTGTGCTGTTGGTACCAGATATATAGCCTGCTTGTTCTGCAGGCTTTCTCACTCACTCGCTCAGAGAATGGATTGAAATCTATGGGAGAACTCTGCAACAGGATGGTAGAAGTTTACCTTCCTAGGAAAAATGTCTTTGTAATGCCTTATTTTTGGGCAGCGCCAGCGAATGTCTGAAGCATTTTTTGCCATGTTTCACAGTCAGTCCTGATGCATGCTCAACGATCCAGGTTAGAAAATGGCGCAAAGTCGATTCTGTTCAGGGTAATGAAATCTTCCTCCCACTGAAAACATCCAGAGGAAGCAGTTTGTTTGCCCTAGTCAGTGAAATTAAGTTAGATATAATTTAGTTAATCCTTCAAAATAAGTGGGCAGAGGCACGTCAGTAAGGTGGCCAAGTGACCAGATCAGCTTCTTTGGATAATCCCTCATATTTCCACGTTTTTTTAATGCTCTCCTTTTTTCCGCCCTCTCCAGGACTCCAAGCTGCCTCTGTCTCTGAGGAGCAATCTGCTGGACCTGTTCAGTCAGATCGAGAGGGAGTTTGAAAACCTCTACATAGAAAACCTCGAATGTAAGTTCCCATGAAAGCAGAAGTGATTGCTCTAGCTTTTGTAATAATTCACTGTGCAGCAAGAGACCCAACACAAAAACAAAAGCAGTTTGCATTTCTTAATTTTATTCAATGCATTTAACTTTTTTTTTTTATTGAGATGCATGAAAATGATAAATTCCTACAAAATAAAATGAATTTATCAGTTTCTGAGGCCAGTAAGCAGAAAGCTGCTACTCAGCAATGGAGAGTAACTTGCTAACCCTGCTGTGGTGAATATAACGACACATTCAGATGTCTTTTAATGCGCGACATGTTTGACTTTCAGTACGCAGAGAGATTGAAACACTGAATGATCGCTTGGCTGCAGAGGGACAAACATTTGAAGGGGCGGATTTAGCAAAAGGAGCACTTAAAACAAAAGGTGAGATTCAGGTAGCATAGATATATTACTCATCTTTTTTTTGTTTGTTTTAATCCTCTGACCTTTGACTTCTCTGACTTCTTTTTGTTTTTGTATGAAATTCACAGCGAGCCACAGCACCAGCCAGCTCTCTCAAAAGCTGAAGACGACCTACAAGGCCTCAACGAGCAAGGTAAATCGAAAATGTTTGTAAATTAAATTGTTTTATGTATCTGATATTATAAGTTACCAGTTTGTAAGGTTTTGGAAATTTTCTGTAATTATTGCTTATTAAACAGTTTCTGTAAATCCTTCCTTCACAAAAGATCTGAAGTTCAGTTTTTGTGAGCCTTTGGGTGCTTTTCATTATACTAACGTGTTTCCTCATTTCCTCCAACTGTGGCTCTTCCTTAAATGAGCTCAAAATAACTGATATAAATGACCCCAGAACTCAGATAAAAGGTAGTTACTTATTAAATACTTGAACTGACAAAAATAGCTGATTATTGTTATTAGCAGCAGTAATACTGTTTGTTTTAATCTATATTGAATATTCCTTTTAAACCTTCCAATTTATGTACAAGTGTCTTCTTCTTATAAGTTCTCGGCTGTTTATTTACCTTCATTATTATAACCTGAAGGGTAATAAACGGTGTGGCTCTGTAAGCGTGTCAGTGGTAAAATAAACAGCTACTTTGTGTGATGATTCAACATTTTGCCATAAAATTATTTCTTTATTTCAGGTTTATCACACATTATGTGTGATGGCACATTATTTATATCATACATTTACCATGTAAATGTTCTATTATCTGTTGATTCTTACTCACAGCACAACAAAGGAAGCACAGTGAGAGTAAACTGTGCCGTGTAGAGGTGCAGCTCGTATACGTCACCTCAATTTAAAAAAAAAAAAAACAAGACTTCAGTATAGATGCATCATTTCTGAGCCATGGGAGGAGAGACGAAGCTCGCTGGCATCATGAACAGCACCCTTAGTCTATTTTTAATATTATTTTGTCCATCTCAATTATATAAAGAAAACAACGCAGTAAAAATGTTCAGTGTCACCTGTTTTGCGGTCAGTAAAGACAAAAATTTGAGGAGGTTTATTTGGCGCCTGTTTCCGCTTTGTCCGTGTGAGCTCACATGACTTTTGAATGCTAAAGAAAAGAATTGCTTTGCTTTCTTTTTTTCACCTTTTTGCTTGTAGCCGCGTTCAAATTCTTGCCATGCCAGAGTAGGTGGATCCCGCAACTTCAGCGTAACCAGCTGGGAGTTGTGGGGTGGAGACTCATGGGTAACTTGTTGATTTCTTCCCCTTGTGTGCCAATATGCATGAACAGCCCAGCCAGGGGGGCGAACCTCCCTCCCCAAGAGACTTGGTCATCCAAATGTAGGCTTTTGAGCTTTTCTCTCATTACCTGCGTGAGATAAACCAGCTCTTTATCATCTCCCTAACGGGCCTTTTCAGTTGCACCTTTTTATTTCGTTTTATGCCGCTACCGTCGGCATTCACATAATAGTACACTCTGGAGGCATCTTTAACACGGACCAGCTTCAAAATGCTTTTTGAGGAGCATTTCCTGGCTGCTGTAGATCATTGCTGGCAGAGTCACGTGTGTGGCCTGCTCAAAAGTCTTTGCCTATAACAGATTTTGCTTTTTTAAACAAAAACGTTTAGAGTTTTTACTTGGATTACTTTTTAACTGTCAGTATTAATGGTGACTTTAAATATTTGGGTGACTTAAAATGACAGAAAACCCAAACATATCTTCATATTTGTTTTAAAACTTGGCCGTAGGAATCCCGAGTTACTTGAACTTCCTCAGTTAAAGTAACAACCCAGACAGAACGACCCATTTTCCTGGTAAAAACATGAGGTATGATCACAGTTTTTAGGGCATGGGACTCTAAAACTCAAAAGCCTTACCATAGCTGCCTTATTTATTTAATTTAAGATCCCCAAGTGGGAGTAGTCAAAATACTATGTATTAGAAAATACTATTTTCTAATACATAGAAAATGGGGACTCTTCTGTTGAAAACTGCTCAGCTGTAGCTGCATGTCCAGCTCTCATCACTGCTGATGATCCTTCATCAGAAAGTTGATGTTTGCTCTCTTTGTGAGTTTGAGGACTTTGGTGGCCAGAATGATACTTATGCAGAGCAGCCTGAAACCAGCAGCCGAGTGGGGGACCCTGAACAGAAGACCAGCTGTTATTCATACCGTGGAGTGATATATTAAATAAATAATTCACACTTTTAACTGATTATTTTACTAAGAAAAGCAAAATCTCACTGTGGCTGTGGCAGCCTGCACTCTGACACTACAAACTGTAGAGAGTCACTGCTCCATAATTCTTCTGCAGCGCTTCGCATTTCCTTAAACCTCCCCAAACGTCCCTGTTGCTGCTTTTTTAAATGTAACATGGTGCGTTGATGTTACAGGTGCACAAGTTATGGATTAATATCATTCCCAGTGTTATAACAGAAGACATAAGAAATGACTTGCTTCATATTATTTATTTATTTTTGTACACGAGAACGTACTGCTCTGCTTGCTAACAATCACAACCGCTGGTTCACACCCTGTCATCCGTTTGACTATCATTTGTTGTCTTCAATCCTTCAGATTTTGTTTAATGTTTCTCTTGATTCGTGTATCAGATGATTGATTTCTGTCTTGATGTTCTCCTACTTTGTTTCAGTTGGAACTTATTTAGTGGTCTGTGCCCAAAACGAACCAGAAGTCCTGTTTGTATCATCCCCATCTTTAATGTAAACGTCTCAACAAAATCTTGATACAGATGACAAAAACTACTCCCCGGTTTCGTGTCTAACCATAACTTTGGCCGCTTTGTTTTCTTTTTTTCCTCCCTCTTTTAGTTTTAGTGATCCGCAGTACTGATACCGTATGAATAATGCGAATGCTTTCATCTGGGTTCGTCTGGTAGTTTGTTTTAAAGCTCGTCTGAGTGTGCAATTGCCAGTCTGATACTTCAGGAGCTTTAAAAGAAACAGGAACAAAGATATTTTGGTAAAAGCTCTTGAACCCAGTGAATAACACTGCTGTTCACCAAAGCTAATTAGCACTGGCATACTATAAGGACCCTGCTGAGCAGCTCCTCAGTGATCCTCAGTCCTGCTGACCTGCTTCCTCCCTCCCTCCATCAGACCAGGGTTCCTACACAGCTCGAGAAACTGATGGCTTAACAATAAAATCTGTGATCAAATTGAACTTTAGATTTAGTAACATCTTAAAACTTTCATCCCCTTTAAAGAATAAAAAAAAAACCAAACCAAAATGCCAAAGAGGGGCCCAGAGAAAGATGACAAGTGTCAGGAGAGACAGTGGGATCAGGGATTTGGTTTGTAATAACAGAATTATCAGTTATTTATTTAGTTTTTAATTTAGTTTCAGTTAGTTTCCAGAGTGAGTTTACACATTTCAGTTCAGTTGATTGTTTAAAAATGTTTGGTTTCAGTTTAGTTTTTATTATTTCCATTGTTAGTTTTACATTTGTCTGGGGCCTCACGCTGGGTGTGTTGAACGATTTGACCAATTCGGAAAAGACTTAAAGACATTTCTTGCATATTTTTATGTAAGACCCCTCAGTCACCTCTAGTGACATTATGGATCCTGGAATGTTTGGGTTGGGGGGGGGGTTGAGAAGGTGAGGTGTGTAGGAATCCTGTTAGGGACACGTCTGGGATTATCTGGGATTTCCTGGTCCGTGTTAACATTGGCTTGATGTTACCATCAGATTGTGTCCAGTTTCAAAGCGACCACGTCCAGAGCGGTGTGCCAGCTGGTCAAAGAGTATGTGGGTCACAGGGACGGCATCTGGGACCTCAGCGTCACCAGGACCCAACCTGTGGTGCTCGGGACAGCGTCTGCAGGTATTTTCTTTTATGCTCTTGTACTTTATTTACGTCATACAGTCTTTTTTTTCTTCATTTCTGTGGTGGTGGTTTTGTCTCTAGCTTCATCTTCTGTCTTCAAACTCAGAGGTTGATGTGTCTTTGTCTTTCCTTCTGTTGTTTACAATGTCAACATATTTAAACATGTTTAAGCTCTTTTTTTCCTTTCCAAGCTGAGACCTAAACTAAAGCGTGATGGACAATTGTTAATAAATAAAAACTCAGACTGTCCTGTGTGCTTTCCAACAGACCACTCTGCTATGCTGTGGAGCATTGAGACGGGAAAGTGCCTCCTCAAATATATGGGTCATCAAGGATCAGGTAGAGTTAGAAATGTCAAACCCTGGAATTGCTGAACCAGCACGTGATAATCTCTTCTGTTTAAGAAGTAGATCCTGCAGCATTGTGACCTGCTAAAACTGTTATTGCACAGTGATTAAACAGCCATCATAAAACTGGCAGTCAGAAAAACATTACTTGGTATACTATGCCTCAGTGGTGTTTGTCATGTGACAGAGTGCATATCTGTGTCCCCACAGTGAACTCCATCAAGTTCCACCCCACTGAACAGATGGCTCTAACAGGTAACCATCGACAGTATCAACATAACTAAGAGTTAAAGCAGAAGCAGCCAAATCTGTGTTACGTGTATTTATTGCAGCAGCTGGAAAAATAAAACTGAAGTGAAATATTGTTTCGATACATCTGAGAAACAATAACCCAGACATGAGAAGGCTTCTGCAGAAGGACTGAAAGTGTCAACGAATAAGTGTTGTTGTCTTTTTCCTGCTGGTTTTAACCATAAAGTAAAACATGGACACAAATGGAGCGTTATTTCTTTTTATTAGTTTTTCCTTGACTCTCAGCAGCTGTTTTACCCCTTTATCTCTGCCTCCTCCACAGCATCTGGAGATCAGACAGCCCACATCTGGAGATACATGGTGCAGCTGCCGACTCCACAGCCTGTTGCTGATATCAGCGTAAGCACAAAGTCGCTTTTTTTTTTTTTTCTTTCCCCCCTTAATATTTTAAAACTTGTTAGTGTTCCTGTCGTCAACGCCTCTTCCTCTCCCTCCTACATCAGCAGCAGACACCCTGTGAAGACGACGTGGACTTCTCAGACAAAGATGAGGCCGACGGCGAGGCGGAGGGGCCGAACGACTGCCCTTCCATCCGTGTGGCGACTACAACTCTCCGCAGCCATCAGGGTGTGGTGATCGCTGCTGATTGGCTGGTTGGGGGCAAACAGGTTGTGACGGCTTCCTGGGACCGAGCCGCCAATCTGTACGATGTGGAGACGTCAGAGCTGGTCCACTCACTCACTGGTAGGAAGATGAAAAGTATTGAAATATGAAATATTGTGTTTATTATAAAAATGTGGAGCCCACACTGAGAAAAATATGCCTTTCAATCCCTCTGAAGTTGACTTGATGACATTTTATTAGTTGAGTTGAGTTGACCCAACTTCTGTGAAGTGTTTTTGGTTATATTGTCAGATTTGGTTAGTTAGAGCAAAGCTGTGGTTCTCCTTTCTGGTTGAAAATGAACTGTTTAAACATTTCAGATCATCTGTTCTGCACTACAGTTATGAAATTCTGCTTCCTTTTATGGTGCTGATCTTATTTCATTGGCATGTATTTAGTCATCTCCCTAAAGTAGATGTTTATTATCTCAGTGATGTAATTGTGTTGCCCTTAATTCTTTCAGTTTGTATTTAAAACACAGACGACCTGTACAACTTGGAATCTGCCATTTTTGAAAAGCAGGGAAACGTAAATCTTCTCCCAATTACGTCAAAGCAGAAGAGGAATGCAGTGAGAATGTAATCGGTTTAAATCGCCACAGGCCTCCTCTGCTCCTCAGAGGAGGCCTGTGGTGTTTCTAAGGCGTGTAGAAATGTAGTATCAGGCCCCACGTTTGTGTAGTTTCAGACAAGAAAGTATTTTACCATATGTCTAAAATAAATCATTATTTTTACTTGCTTATTAAACTATAACATTCAATATTTCCTAACGTTTTCGATTGCCTCTGTGATGGCGTGCTTACACTTGCCTACTGATGTCATGTCAGACAGTGGAGTTTGTATTTGTCTGACTGATGAACAAAAACCAGGAAATTGGGAGGGATTGTGTGTCATTAAAGGTGCTGCAGTCAGTTTTGAACTGGGCGGTGTTCAGCCGAATGAAGGTCTCTCTGTGAAATTGAAATAAATTAAGATATTAAACGGGAGATGGTGCAGTGTAGCTGCGTTGGAAAACATTCCTCAGTGTAAGAATGGCAGCTTTTAAAAAGAAAGATAAACATGAAGGGAAAAAAGGAGGTGTGTATGCTCCTCACTGTGTGCTGCTGTCTCTTCAGGGCACGACCAGGAGCTGACCCACTGCTGCACACACCCCACCCAGCGTCTGGTAGTCACCTCGTCCAGGGACACCACCTTCAGGCTGTGGGACTTCAGAGACCCGTCCATCCACTCTGTCAACGTGTTCCAGGGGCACACTGAGTAAGCCGAACACCCATGCATCCATCTCTATCTGTTGCCTTCATGGCAGGTGGTTCATAAAGAGCACTTTAGAGTGCTGTAGTACAATTAACCATAGTGGAGTGGAAGCCCAGTTATTTTGCATTGGTGTATAGATGCATACAGCTATGTCTCAAATAATGCAAACTTTCATACATGTGAATGTGTGTGTTGTATTAGGAATAGAAAGTTTGGCTATAAAGACAAAACCTTTTTCAGTACCATTTGTAACGGTCATTTCTGTTGCTGTAAGCCACAGTAGAGATGGATATTTTAATGAGGGACTTTATGGGGACTAATAGTCAGTTCTCATTCCTGAGTGCTGGTGCTGCTTGGTTTCAGCTGCTGGCATATTTGTGCACAAGCTCTTCTTTGCTGGTGACAAACCTGTGAAATGAGCTTTGCACACAGCAAGAGACTAACACTGACATGGTTACCAGAGAGGGAGGAAGAAAATTAAGCGACCTGTTACACGTGACATTATGCTAATACAAAGTGGGCGGGGCTGGAATTACTGTTTGCTTCTCAACTTTAAAGCAGCTTATTGGAGCTACTACCAAGGGAGTGAAGGAAAGCACAGATGGATATAAGATTAGGTGGAAGATAGATCTATGTAATCAGAGTTTGTTCTTTACAGTGACCATCTATCAACTTCAGAGTGAAGCACGACTAGTAAATCATTTAATATTTGCACAGGGCTTTATACCACCACTGCCCCTTCACCCACTATCTTTACTGATGATAGATATCTGAAAGAAATCCACTATAAAGTATTACGTTTTCAGTTCCTGCCTTCTAGAATTTGGCTCTAACTGCGTCTGCAGGAAACGGTTACAGCGGCTTTAAAAGGAAACAGAACAAGAAGCTGATGAAATGAAAGTTTTCTGAAGTCTAAACTGGACTTGTTTTCTCGTCCTGTGGCAGCACGGTGACGTCAGCAGTGTTCACAGTGGGAGATAACGTGGTGTCTGGGAGCGACGATCGAACCGTCAAAGTGTGGGACCTGAAGAACATGAGGTCGCCCATAGCAACCATCCGCACAGACTCTGCAGTCAACAGGTGTGTAAACCTGTTTATATTTATGTCATTAAAAAGTAACGATTATAGGAAGGAATCCATTAAAATGACTACGCAGGTCTACTAAAAATCTACAAATGTATTTATAAGGGAGCAGAATTGAGCTTAAAAGGCTCAGTTTTAAATGTCACAAACATACGCGTCCCTGCTCTTTCAAATATGAATGTGATTTGGCTCTGATTAGACCATATACTGCAGATAAAGCCTGACCCTGTGTTCCCTGTTTACTCCTTTCAGGATCAGCGTGTCGGTGAACCAGAAAATCATCGCTCTTCCTCACGACAATCGGCAGGTCCGGCTGTTTGACATGTCCGGGGTGCGACTGGCTCGACTCCCACGAAGCAACAGACAGGTGAGTGCGAGATTTACCATTTAAACAAAAAACAAAGACTAAACCTCCACTAAGAATTTAAGCCACAGAAATAAAAATGAAAACGTTCCAGTGCAGCCTCTTGAAATTTTCTGTTTACTGCTTAAGAACAAGGATGCTCAGGATCCACGTCAAAGTAAAAATGTCACCCTCACAGCTGCCGTGTCTTCTGTTTTATGATTTAGGGTCACCGGCGCATGGTGTGCTGCTCCACTTGGTGCGAAGACAACACCACCTGCAACCTGTTCACCTGTGGCTTTGATCGGCAAGCCATCGGCTGGAACATAAACATCCCCGCTCTGCTGCAGGAGAAATGACCTCCTCCTACTGTCACCTTACAGGGAAATGCCACCAAAAGTCTGTTTGGAGTATCAAACACTGAAACCTTTGAGTGGGGTTAAAAGGCGGCTGGAGAAAACTTTTGTCTCGTACCTTTGTGTCGATGAAAAGTTGTCTCATGTTGTAATGTACAGGATGAAATTCCTGTCGTTTCCAGCAGCCGTCTTTTGAGCCCACGGGGGGGGGTCGGTATTTGTACTCGATGTCCTTTGAGCTCTGTTCTCCTCTTTTGTTTGGGGTAGAGCAGAAAAAGGCCTTGCACTTGCTGTCTACTCCATCTGTCACGCTCACTAAATCACCGCTGCCAAAATATACAAAACACATTTGTGGTCTTTGCGTGGAAGTGATTTAACATCTGGAAAAGAGAAAAAAAAATCCTGTGCATCTCTAATGAAAAAAGCACACGAGCTTCTTCTTTGCCGCGAACAAAAATGCATTTTGTTAATGCTAAATCAGATCTGTGACGTGCTGACGTTTCTGCTTGATGCTGATTTAAAATGCAATACTGGAAATCTAATCTGTGCCACTAACAGCAGATTCATGCTGGACAAAGACAGCGGTCTGCTGCTTTAAAGGATCCACTCATTATATATCATTAGTTTTTCCTGTTTAATACACTGCAAGAGTTACATCAATGAAAACTTATTTGTGAAACTTGTTGTTTACTTTCTGCATCATGTACATTTCCTAGGTTATGATGCAACGTGGCAGTGGAAGCCCTCACTGCTGGAAAGCTTGAGTCTCATGTTCTGCACTGGGATCTAACAAAGCGTTCATTTTCAGCATTCACTATTATATTTGACTTATTTTTTTTCTTCGTTTTTCTTGGAAACTGAAATAAGTTTCCAAACATTTTGTTTGGCTCCTGGCTCTGTCTGTAACTCGCATAATAAATGAAAACCAATAGTTATGAGAGTGTAACTGAGGACCAGTAAGCTACAATACAGGCTGTAAAATGACTCCTGCGAGTTCTCGATGTGAGCCTGCCGACGTTCATCCAGTGGCCGCTTGTTGGTGAGCTATCATGAAACTTTAGCAAGTAGCTAACAATTTTACAAGAGTAACTGGTACTGCAGCAAAACATTACACTACTCCACATAACCAACTGTCTGTTTGAACTATAGACTGTATATAAAAGATGCATGTAGCCACTGTGATGTCACTCATTGGTTTTAGATGAGTGTATTAGCGACGGTTGCTCGGAGCCACTGTGTTGGTATCCAAAAAGCACCAACATGGTATCGATGTCCATACAGTGACCTGTGTTGCAATACCTGTCAGATAAAGTCGCCACACCTCCAATTTTGAAGCTAACAGTAAGCAAATGGATGGATATAGGAAAAAAAAAAATCTGTGTAGAGTTGTTATGGGGGAGGAAACTATCTACTAGGCTATAAGCGTTTTTCACTATAAACAGGCTCTTTAATGCGGTAAAGTTGGGCATTTTAACACGGCGCTCTTTGTGAATTCACTCACTTCTGGAGCCAGCCTCAAGTGGACAGTAGTGGAACTGCAGTTTTGAGCACATCTTCAGTTTTTAGCTCTAAAAGTTGCTACTTATTGTTTATGGATATTAATGTTAGCTACTTGCTACTAGCTAACGTTGCATGCTAAATAATGTAGACTCTTCAGTTAAACCATGTTGGGTTTATTATTAATCCTCAGTACATAACCCCCGACTGCTCGTTGCTGTCAACCACTGCAAAACCTAGCATTGAGTCTAGCAGTGAGTCATGTGCAGGTGTGTTACCAGACTACGCTGATCTATGACGCAGTAAAGCATCCACTGGCCTTGTTCGTGTTTCAGAGCCACTTTTGATGTGTTGGTCCTATCGATGTTTAGGACATTTGTACTACTGTTGTTTTGTTGGTTTGTTTCACATCACTGTTTGGTTTTTGCCAAGGCTAACATGGGTCAGCATGCAATGACTCTTTGGCATCTTGCATTATTCATCTTTTTTCTCTGTTTCCTTGTTTTCCACCTGGCTTCCAGTAGTTTGCTGGTTCTTCTTCTTGTCTTTTTATAGTTTAACCCATTCAAGAATTCTCTAAATTTAAGTAGCTGTAGTAGCTGGTATTTGATCCTGAAACAAGTCCCACATTGACAAACCGGCAAACCGTCACCCTAACACTCCCCGATTGGTCCTGTGGTGGAAAGTTTTTTTTGGCGTGATGATGTCACAGCTATGTCAAAGCAAGCATAAACAAGTGATGCACTTTTAAAAAAAGTATGTTACAGTTTTTCTTTTTGCTGCTGTTGTTGGAAATAAATGTTTTTCTGGTAACTTTTGGCTGTTGGTCAGCTGACATGGTGGCACATAACCTGAAGGACTTTAATGGTCAGGATGGTGGTTTTGAAAAGGGGTAATATCTCGTGCTGGCAGCACAGGGGTTTGTCTCAATCCAGTTTGTGCAGCTCTGTTTGTGCTGCAATGTTCAGGACGAACCTTTCCTCGCTAGAATTTTAATTAGAGTCTCACTTTTGTTTGGAGCCAGTCGGTGTTAAACAGCAAAATCAGGATTTGCTCAGATAGAAATGAAGATTTCATGTTCTTTTTTCCCTGTGTGTTTATCCCAGATCCAGGAATCCAACAGGCATGCACTTTTTTTTTCTGCAGTGCAGATATCTGATAAAGGAAAAAAAACATCCACTTTAAATGAGCATCAAAGAAGTGTCGTCAAACGTAGAGATCGATCTGTTGAAATGTTCCCTTGTCTGCTCAGTCCAGCTGTTGTACCAATGCTTGACATGATTGTAAAACCTTTTTGTAGTTTATCGCAGTGCCCTTTAGTGAATAGTGTTGAAACGATATCGTGGGGATTCTCTTGTGTGTCACATTTTTTTAATGGTACTTCAAAACAAGTGAGCACTGTTGCGACGTGTTTACTGTTACTGGCTTCGCTTTCCCACTGCCACTAAAAGACTCAGCCAAAGCTGCATTTGAGTGTGTGTGTGTGTGTGTGTGTGTGTGTGTGTGTGTGTGTGTGTGTGTGTGTG